CTAATTAGGTAAGTATGCCACAATGACGTCCATTTTGCAGGCTCTATGAGGTGTCGGTTTTACCTCTGACACCAGTAAGATGATCAAGTAATGCTAAACTTAAATATTGAAAAATTTTATATAATTATATATATATAGTTTTAAAAATCTTAATAAAGTACTAGCACAACTGCTTAAGATTAAATATCTATATATATTATATTTTATTTAAAAAATATATTGCTAAAATTAATTTTTAAAATTTTATTACAAAAATTAAATTTAAAAAATTAATACAAACAAATTTGTCTGTATTACAATTTAAAAAATAATATTATAACACTAAATAAAATTTATATTAAAAATTTTTTGGTTTAATAAAACAGTTATAAATTTTTATTAATATTACTTATATATTTATTATATTAAATCTAAACTTTTAAATATATTATAAAATGTTTTTTTGTCCTACTTTATAACCAATTGGTAATAAAGTAAATCTGGCAGCTTGTGGTGCTACAGCCAATATGTTATGATAGTCTTGAAGTGCAACTCCTTTACGGCGTCTATATTTATTATTTATAACGTATTAAAATTAGTTTAAATCTTCATACAATAAAAAAAAACTATAAATACTCACATATCAGTAATCTTTGGATTCAATTGAATTAAAAGTCCTAACATAATTGAACTCCTAGTATAATGTCTTTCAACATTCTTATCAAGAAATGGTTTAAATATTTCGAAATCTATTGGATCAATCTTATTGTGAAAAATATTAAATGTTAATTCATGCAATTCAAAAAAAAACTAAAATGTTAAAAAAATTATACTTTAAATCTAATGGCTTCCAAAATTTGATTTATCATTTGTTCTCTTTGCTTGCATGCTTGAATATCATCATTATTGTTAACCATATTCGATGACCAACAATATTCAAAAATTTTTTTCAAAAATTTAATATCATATAATAATTGTATAGCACTTTTTTCAGAAACATTTGTGAATTGATCTGCATCGGAAACAAACTGAGTGTATAATTCAACAATTTTGAGAAATATTTGTATATAAAGATCTATTATTACATTCTTTATAGTGAGAATATATTATTACTAAGCATTGGAATAAGAGCAAAATAACTTTAGGTTTTAATATAAAAAAAGCTTTATACATACTTCATGTAACGTTGGACTGCCAACACGATTTATTTCTCGACAAATATCAAATAAGCACTTCATAAGTATGTTTGATGGCTGTGAAGGCAACCTCATTTTATTACCTTCTTGGCTCTGCTCCGGATTTTGTATAGTTACTTCTATTTAAAGCAGTATAATTGAATTCTGATTTTTTTTGAAACTATTCTTTTGATAAGTTTATAAATCATTAAAACCTAACCTTCCCAAACTAATGTTTGCACATCAGTTTCATCCCAATGAGTATTAGATAACATTTCAGAAATACCAGTTTGCACATTATAAGTGACCCATTTAATCCATGGCTGGTGAGCCGTAAAATATACATCCATTAAGATCTGGCGTAAATTTACTAAACGTGGATCTAAGATTCATATAGTGCGAGCTAATTTATTTGATACCTTGGAAGTGTTAGAATTTATCAAAATATCACTAGCATTTATAACAAACCTAATAATGACGATGAAAGACGACTATTGGATTGATTTGCTTTCTCTTTGACGAATACTAATTGTAAAAGCACGGGTAGTTCAGTAGACTCGTACGCAATCGTATATGCGATACGACCAATAAACAATCGTTTAGCTAAATAAATAAAAAAATAAATAAATAATTCGAAATGAAATAGGAATATGTAAAATATTATCATTACCATTGTTTACTGCCACAGTTCGAGAATCTTCATTTTTAACATTTGTACCAACCTCTTCCAATAAACTATCAAGTTGATCGCAATAAGACGTAATAGAGCTTACAATTGTTTCTTGAAAGAACATGGACAAATCCTCCGTATCACTAAATAAATCAATAGTCTAACTTTTTAGGTATATTTCGAATCCTAAATGATCCTGTATATCGTAATCAAATGAGATGTACCTATTGGCATTAAACAAATCGTCTCCAGCAGATTTATCTAGAAATAAATCATTAACGCGGTTCTCCGATAAAGTAAATACTGGTTCCATATCATCCTTAATATATTTTAAATTTTTGTCAAATGCTACTTTAGCATCGTTAACAAAGGGTGTTTGTCCAGATACAAGGAGTTCTATTCGACTTTTGAAAACTGATTCAGTACTGTCGTGAGGCTTTGAACTAAAAAATATGGACCCATGCGCCCAGATAAAGTTTCCAAGATGCCGTTCTGATTGTTAATTAAACATGGCCATAAGAATATATTTTATATAAACCATTAAAATATTATGTATGATTTTTACCTTCATTATTAGGATCTTTAAGTTTGTACAGCCGGTTTTTAAGCAACTTCTCTGGTTGGTTAGATAATTCAGCAAATGATGATATTATAATGTCTTTGAATCGTTTGTTGAAACCATTCCTTAATAAATCATTCCAAATAGAAAAAGGTTTGTGAAAAACAAGATGACATATCTATACAATACATTGATAAAGAATGTTACTAAAATAGAACTCATGAATAAGCCAATTAGGGAATGAAAATTTTATATTTACAAGATACCAAGACAAAATTGTCTTTTGTAGATTTAATTCAAACCCCAAACTAGTTCTATGAACGTTGCTTGGAAACTTTTTAGACGAAGATTGGTCTTCATATTTAACGCATTCATCCTCTTTTAAGATTTCCCAAATTATTCTTCGTAATTCATGTAACTCTTTTGCACAAGGTACTTTTGATAACAAAGCATCAAGTTTTTCATGAAATTGTTCAATGATTTGATCTATCCATAAATTCATTCGCGTTGTAATATCTTCTTGAGAAAGTTGACCACGAGTACCAGACACATGTAAAAAAGGAGTAAAAGTTTGAATTGATTCGGGAAGGTAACGTACAAGTAGGTGTATATTTGTTGAAGGAGAATACAGACGGGTTAAGGAAGCTTTTGAATCACGTGGTGAAACCAAGGCGGGAGATGGCTGTGCTGAATCCTCATAAACTGTGAATCCTTGCTGTAATTGATGCAGATATGATTCAAATAGTGATTGTTCATTGTCTGCGCTAATGAAAACAGATCCAACATGATAAACAGTGCCTCTAATAAGACGAATCATTTCCTTAAACAGTTCCACCATTGATTTTGTGTCTTTTGTTTCAGAATTTGCTAAAATTTGTATCAATGCTGATGTTCGCATATCAAGACATTTACGAAATACATCTTTTTTTGTTACATCGTCCAACAACATTATTGCACAAAGTGTTTCTGCCAGACTCTTTAAATGGAGATACAAATAAAACAATGTAAGAATCAAATTGTCAGAGATATAATAAATTAATAATTTTAATTATTGAACCTGTTCAGATTGTTCAATGACTTTTAGATACAGTGTGGCTTTTTGAAGGATTTGAGCTTTAAAGTGACTAACAGCATCCCATTGACGTTGAACAACCGGAAATGTCACCTGAAATTTATATATTTGGAAAAAATTTAGCACTCGAGGTGAATTGAAATAATTTGAAAAGATAATGCATGTATATTTTTATGCTATTACCGACACATTAAAAGGAGAATCTTCATTGTGAGCTTGAAGATTTTTGTACACCAACTTGGCAATAAGGTATAAACGACTAGCATTTAAATATTTATGGCTTTCTAAAGATCGCCAAATCTATAAAACACAATATTAATTCTAGATTAACAAGAATAATTTCATATTACAAAGAGTTTAAACTGTTATTAACCTGCTCTGGAACGTCGACCAATAATTTGATTTGCGCAGCTGATGAATATAGGTGATGTTTCTTTTCATCTTGGTGGGATAAGCAGAAATTTTAAGTTTTAAAAAACGCCACAAAAAAGAAATATTGAATAAAATTATACCTTTTGTTCCCTTCTTGTCTTCATTTATTTGAGCTTTAACAGTGCGTTTCAGAGCTTGAACATCACAAGAATCTTGCATGTGATGTAATTCTTCTTGAATGGATAAAGCACAATGACGCATGTTAACTATACTATCAGCCGCATCGATCAAATCACGATACCGTTCACTTAAAGTATAATTAAAATAAATTTAACATTAGAATGATAGTCGGAATGGAACGGAATCTTGTTGATCTTATTCTTACCCAACCATAAGCCTTAATTCCTGTTTTTTTTCCTCAATATCAGATCTATTACATAGAGTACCTTATTTTTAGTAGAATGGCTGATTTTTTTTTGTTTTATAAATAATTTTTGACAAACCTTGTTCTTTTCTCGAGAGCACGTAATTCTGGGATACTATGTTTAACGAAAAGTTCATCAGCGCTAGTAGAAGAGTTATATTCGGCATGAAAGCCATAATTTGTCAACTCTGTGGCTGGCATACTAAAAGTATGAATTTTAAAAAAAAACGAAAAATTATCAGTTACATAAATACGCAATTTGTTACACAAATGATTGAGAAAGATATTACGTAACACTAATTAATAAAAATATACAGTATAACCTGTCAATACTGATAACCTGTGAAAACTGAGCCACCTGTCAAACCTGATAGCTGATAACAACGCCAGGGTGTAGGATCGATAGCTTACATAGCGTCGCCTAGGAAAAATGGTAGCCGGATAATTTCCCTGACACTACCTAGATCCGGATCTTTATTGC